TTGCTAATAAATAGATCCTTGTTGATAATCCTTATGTAATAGCAAAATTTATGATAAATTGATGAAAATGAACCCTTGTTGATAATCATGTTGCTAATAAATAGATCCTTGTTGAAACTATGTTGCTATAATGAGTAAGAAGTAAAGTACATTGTTTATAGTAGTAGAAAGATTAAAATATGTTGCTATTTTCCGTAATTCTAGAGATTCTGATATGGCATGCTTTTGGTTCATAATTTATATTTTACCATTCTGATATGATATATCGTGTGGTACTTCATAATTTATTATTCAACTGAATATTATGATTTCATTTAATAAGTTATACTTATAATTTTAGTGTCTTATTGTTTTTCAGGAACATGAAGAAATGTTTGAAAAGGTCTTCTAGAAAGTTTTTTGTAGAAAAAGAGAATATGGAAGAAATTGTTTTTAATTGTATATCGATGTTTCCAAATGAAAATAGAACATGGAATTGGCAAAACAGTTCAGTGATTTATTTTCGAGTATAATTTTTTGAAGTACCAATAAGCCAGAAAGTGAATAAGCGCATGTTGGAATTGTAGAAACCCAAAATCAAGGGACAGAGGAAATGATTGAAACCGAAGATAGTGAAATGGAGGATAATGATCAAAATGCTTAAAATCAACATATATGGATACATTTGTGAAATTAAATAGGAAACTCACTTTGGAGCATATTTTTTTGTCAAATTCTAATTTAGATGTCGAAAGGATAAATACATCATGTAATTAGATGTACACAATATTGTTCAATTTATTCTAGTATGAAAAGATGATAATATATAGAGAGAACATTGTGCAAACTATTCCTTGAAAATATTGTTCATTGTTAAAGATTTCCTTGTGCAAACTATTCTAATTAAATAATGTTTATGTTTTTAATAGAATAATTTGATTAATTACTTGAAAATAATGTGTATATTCTACTAGAATAATATTATATGTTATCTATTTTCAAAAGTTATATGCATAATCTTCTAATATAATAATGATGTAGGATATTCTAACTTATATGTTGAATATTCTAATAGAATAATGCTTAATTAAATCTAGGCTTGTTTAAAACTCTTTGATATGTTATTATTCTAGTAATTCTAAATATTCAATATTTAATATTATGTTGTTAAGATGTAATATTCCGAAATTGTGTGCAATATTCTGAAGTAATGTGAAATATTCTGAAATTAGGTGTCATATTATAATTTTAGACATTATGATTTTGTTGGAAACAACTTGCTTCAAACTTTTTGTTAAATAATATGTAATATATGATTTTATACATTTTGCTTTTCGTTCGAAACAATTTGTTTTGAACCTCTTTGTAAAAATATTGTGATAGCACTTGATTAATAGTGAGGTAATGTAAAATATTCTAAAATTATGTGTCATATTCTAAAATTGTGTGTCATATTCTGATTTTAGAATATGTAATATGATAGAATTAATAGTTAATGTTACAAGAATGTTGTTAGTTTAATTATTAATGTGTTGTTTATAAAGGCATGTTTTTCATAATATTTTTTGAATCTTGAGTATTTATATTAATTTTGTTTATGTACATGAATTGATTAAATGGAAAATCAAAAGCCAAAAGTCGATGAAACTAAAACAAAGAATCGCAATAATTAGAAAACCATTGATATTTTGAAAACAAAATTTCAACATAGTATCATAAATCTTCATTATATGGTTACATTGTTAGACAAAGGGATGAATATGAATCTCAAAACTCTTATCAAGTTATAGTTAAATAACAATGCACTAACAACCATAAAACGTCTATTACATGTTTGTGACATATAAAATCTATTACATATCCGTGAATCTCGATACTTATAGTTGAAAAAGTCTAGATTCAAATATTCAAGTTCCTTTCAACCTCTTGAATCCAAAAGAAATAACCATCAGGTCAAATGGATTGTTTGCAAGAGCCATATTGTGCTGCAACATTGTCGCTTAGAACTACAAAAAATAATATACCACCACATTAACATATAATAAAAATAATGTGCATTCATATGAATTTAATCATAAATGTATGCTCAATATTCAATAAGAATAATATGCGGTAACATGAACTAATCAGCAACATGATGTTAATAATTGGAATTAATAAATATATGATCAATATTCTATAAGAATAACTGAGATTGGTAAAAAAATCTACCTGGGTTTCCGATTGATTTTCCTCATTATGGAGAATATCTGAATCACCAATACTTAACATATCACTGATGGTATGTATCCAATAGATATAATCAGAAAAATATACATTCTTATGAAATTAGCCATAAAATAACCCATTGTTAACATATACTACCTTTATAAGAACCATAATTTATTTAATAGCATCTAATATTTTTTTAGTACAACATGTTTGTTTCTTACAGGTTAACAAGAGCATATTTAAACAAAAGTGTGGTAAAATGCATCTCTAACAATTTGTGTTTAAAGAAAATTACATATTTTAACAAAACTAAGGTAAATTTAATAAGATTAGTCAATATTGAATTATTTTACTCCAATTCTAACTCATATTTTGGAAATATACTAATTCTTAAATAGGAGTTTATGTATGGGAAGGAAGGGGTGATACATCATAATCTTTATTCATTCAGGACTTTCATCAAACATGTAGAATGCATGTATAGTTTAAGAGAATTTTCTCAAGAACAATAATTGATTTCAATCAATCAATATGATGTTTGATTGCTGAAATCACAAATCATACATATATGAATTGGAGAAATCACTAGTAGCTTGATGATTCAATCAGTTCATGTTACAAGGTTAACAATTGAACATGTTACATGCAAGTAACAATGAAAGCGATGAAAATACATGGAAGAAAACTCAAACCTTGATCAATTGATGAAATCGTGATGTAGAATACAAATCACAGTTTGAAAGATCGTTAGCAATTGTTGAAGATGAAGATAAGCATAAAGCAACTGAACACTTGAACCTCTACCTTGGATGAAATCGGTCATCACAGAGCTAAAATCAGTAACAATCTTGTAATTAATTGTTGGTGTCGATAGATGAACATAAACCTTAATCACTCAGATTATCAATTGCAGATGCAGAAGAATGAAGAACATGAACTCGTGAAACACAGAAATCGCGACTTTAAAAGCTATTATTTAGCATTGTGCGATCAATGTCCAACTCAAACTAATTATCGGTTGAAAGAATAGAAGATTTAAGGAGATAGAAGATCGATCAGATTGAATTGAAGAACAAGGAATGTTGATCCAGCGAATATTTTGGTAGAAGAATCAAAGCAGATGATTTCTTGATGACGTGAAGATAACACTAACATTATATCAGATCTGACCATATTAAATTTTACCTAGGGACTAATCTACCCCTCATTAACTAATCAATTAGATTAATTATGGTTAATCACGTTTTTTTATTAGCCACAAGATCAGTTTTGATCAAAGGCCAAGATTTGGTCTCCATGTCTCACAAAATATAGGTGGTCTCAAATGAACCTCTACCTATATATATATATATATATATATATATATATATATATATATATATATATATATATATATATATATATATATATATATATATATATATATATATATATATATATATATAATTGTTTATTTAAAATATAATCTAGTTTTTAATGTTAAACATAATAAGATTAGGGGCCGGACCTTTCATGATGCTTTGGTAAAGATGTGATATTCAACGGCCCAATAGTCAAGCAACAATTTGTAAGTGGTTATTGGTTAAAATTATATGTATATTGTTTAATTCTTAAAAGCAAACTACATCATTGTTTTTTTTATTAAAGTTAGAAGTACATTGTTTTTTCATTAAATAGCAAGGATATTAATCTATTTTTCATCTTTGTAAAATACATAATGCTTCAGCGCGAGAGTTTGTCGAACAAACACAAGCCTCATTCTCCTCAAGCAACCCATCCCCCAGACAAGCGAGATGTATTTGAAAAGGTTATGTGTGCTGGAAGGGGTCATGTTAAAGGCATTTGGTGTAAAAATAGTTTATTTAATTTCAAAGTTTCATATCAGGAACGATGAATGCATGTTACTGTGGTAATTTTGGTTTATGTTGATTATTTAATTATAAACTTTGCTAATCGGTAGTTTTATTTATATGCAAACTTTGGTAGTTTGGTAATTGTTATTTTGGTTTTTGTTGATCATTGGTAGGTTGTAAATGTTAATTTGATATGTTGGTTTATGTTGATATTTTTTTTAATCGTTAGTTTGGAAATCATTTTATTGGTATTTTGTTGTATGCTCATACTTTGGTAGTTTAGTAGTTTGGTTATTGTTAATATGGTGTTTTTGTTTAAGTTGATATTTTGGCAGTTTGGTGTTTTGGTAATTTGTAGGTTGTTTATGTTAATATTTTCGTATCTGTTAGTTAATATTGTCCGCCGCTATTTGGTTAATATTGTCCACCGCTATTTGGTTGCTAAATTTTCATTGACAAACCGCTACAAATTTCTTGCTTTTGTTGATTAAGCTTTGATTTCAAAGTGGGTGGATAGTAAACTTTATCGACTAGCCACGGATAGTTAAAATCGGTGTGTCATGGGGGCGTTGAGGACTTGAGGGGGCAAAATGGGCAACTATACTTAATTTTTTTTATTATATATTTTTATTTTTAAAATAAAAACTTATTTTTTTAGGATATTTAATTCTTGAGGACTTTCATATTTATTTTTTGATTTTCCATTATTCTCATTGGTGATATGGTTTATCAGCTGTGGGGAACGATGGGGGAGGGGGTGGGGTTGTAGTACACTTGTAATCTACTCTATAATTCGTTTTATATTTGGTGGCTCAAATAGACGCACCAAGAAACTGAGACCCACATGGCAGAAGGACCGCCATTGCGCCATCCCACCTCTAAAAATCCGAAACCAAATCGAATTAACCAATCAGAGTGATGCTGAATTGTACGCATTCTAATCCACCAGTATTGTTGAATTTATATATAACATTGCAATTCTCCACCATCTACACATACCCTCTACAAATTAACATAACTTATATCCCCTCAAAGAAATGGCAAGTTCTGCAATCCAACAGTCAGCATTCGCTGGCCAGGCAACATTGAAGACACAAAACGAGCTTGTCAAGAAGATTGGCAGCTTCAATGGTGGCCGCTTTACCATGCGCCGCACTGTCAAAAGTGCACCACAAAGCATTTGGTAAATTTCACAAATCAATGTCTAATTTTCTCGTTTCCAATTTCATAGTGATTGCAAACTAACAGTAATATTATCGGTAATTGGTTTGACAGGTATGGACCAGATCGTCCAAAGTACTTGGGTCCATTTTCCGAGCAAACCCCATCATACTTGACCGGTGAATTCCCCGGTGACTACGGGTGGGACACCGCCGGACTCTCAGCTGACCCGGAGACATTTGCCAAGAACCGTGAGCTCGAAGTGATTCACTCTCGGTGGGCCATGCTCGGTGCACTCGGGTGCGTCTTCCCCGAGCTTCTCTCCAAAAACGGTGTCACATTCGGTGAAGCTGTCTGGTTCAAGGCGGGTTCCCAAATCTTTTCAGAAGGTGGTCTTGACTATCTTGGAAACCCTAATTTGATCCATGCACAGAGCATTCTTGCTATCTGGGCATCACAAGTTGTCCTCATGGGACTCATTGAAGGGTACCGAGTTGGTGGGGGCCCACTTGGTGAAGGGCTTGATAAGATTTATCCGGGTGGATCTTTTGACCCGCTTGGGTTGGCTGATGACCCGGAAGCTTTTGCTGAATTGAAGGTTAAGGAGCTTAAAAATGGAAGATTGGCCATGTTTTCTATGTTTGGGTTTTTTGTTCAAGCTATTGTTACAGGGAAGGGTCCGATTGAGAATTTGTTTGACCATCTTGCTGACCCGGTTGCTAACAATGCTTGGGCTTATGCTACCAACTTTGTGCCCGGAAAATGAGTTGAATATGTGTAGATTTGATAATCCTTATGCAATATCAAGGAACTATTTCACTTAATCTTCTGATCTTATTTTCTTGAGTTATTATCTTTGTGATGATGTTATGGAAGTAGTTCATGTTGTAGAAGTGTTGTCACCCAACAAATAAACTTCTGACTAAATTTATATCATTAAAATTACGTTATTGAAGTGTACTGATTGGATGATCGTAAGTGAGGAACTTACATTGTTTTTTCTTAATAAGAAAAAACAAATTGCATTGTACATACGATTGTTTTTCTAAACTTTGAAATATTAAATCACTTTTACAAAGTCAAATCATGTAGAAAAAACGAAACTTCAACTCAACTTCACAAAATTTCACCAATAATCCATACAAGAACATGAACCATTTTTGAAATGATGATAACGATTATTATCCCTAACAATAATTTCACGATCATAAATCTTGGATAAAAGCTTTGTAACCGAGTGACAATCATTACAAACACGAAGATTCTTCACTATCCGAATTGGAATCCCGGGTTTATAATTAATTAATCCAAAAGCAATTGCTAATCTCTCACTATGGCTTTCCAATTCAATCTCCTTCTCATTGTCCCCTTCAATATGAAGCAAAACTTGGGATTTATCGGGTACATGTCCCACACTTTTCAATCTCTCCCTAATCTCACTCAACTTATGGTATATTTCATTACTTTGAGGGTGTGATCTATCTCCCACAATAAACTCATGAACACCATTTTCAAACTCAATAAAGCTACACCCCGGATCTTTTTTCAATCCCATTTTCCTCATTGTTTCTCGAACGTGTGACACTTTGTCCCAATTATTAGTTGTGGCATACATGTTAGACAAAAGAAGGTAACTTTCAATACATTTTGGATCAATTTGTTTCACATGGTGTCCCGCATATTCCCCAATTTCAACATTTTTATAGATTCTTGAAGCACTAAGCAAACTCATCCAAACTATCTTGTTTGGTTTCATTGGCATTGATTCTATCACATTTTTAGCTTCTTCAAGACAACCCGCACGACAAAAAATGTCCACAAGACAACCGTAGTGTTCGATTGTAGGTTCTATTTTGTAATCATTTACCATCATTTTAAAGAATCTTTGACCATCTTTGACCAAACCCGCATGATTACACGCATTCAATACACCAATGAATGTTATACCATTAGGGATGATGTTGACTTTTAGCATTTCTTGAAATAGTTCAAGAGCATGGTTAGCTTGTCCATGGGTTCCTAGACCTACTATTATAGCAGTCCAATGAGCTAACTTTTTGTTGTGTATAGATTTGAATATCTTTAAAGCACTCTCGATGCTTCCACATTTGCAATATGTTTCTATTAATGAAGTACCAAGTATACCATCTAATTTATGATTATTTTTTACTATATAGGAATGAACCCATCTTCCCTTTGTGAGAAGAGCTAAATAGGAGATAGCAGATAGAGTGCTGACTAAAGTACTAGGAGTGGGTATATAACCTGAATTTAGAAGTTGGGTGAACAACTTTAAAGCTTCTGAAAATCTTCCATTGCATTCATACCCTGCTATCATTGAGTTCCATGTGATTATATCTATGTCTTCCATTTGATTAAACAACCTACGGGCGGAAAGAAAGTCACCTGCTTTCATATACCCATTAATCATTGCGTTCCAGGATGGTAGGTTTCTGTTTGGCATTTCATCGAACACCTTTCGGGCATCATCAACTTTGCCATGTTTGGAGAGTCCGTCAACCATCACAGTCCATGAGACGACATCTTTTTCTGTCATCTCATCGAACAACTCCTTTGCAAGTTCAATGTTACCAGATTTTACATACCCATCCATCAAGGAGTTCCATGAAACCAAATCTTTTTCAGTCATTCCATCGAACACCTTCCGTGCAGAATTAATATCTTTGAATTTGGAATACATGCTGACCAAACTGCTCTGAACGAATACATCATCCCTAAACCCGATTTTCAAAATCAACCCATGAATCTGCTCCCCTTCTTTTGTTGCAATTAATCTTCCACACGCTTTGATCACACAAGGCAGAGTAAACACATCAGGCATTAAACCTGACCGTGACATAAATTCAAGAAACATTAAGAGGGATTCCTGTGACCGCTGATTTTCGACGTAGGATTTGATGAGGGTGTTCCAAGAATGCAATGTTGGTTCTTGAATTTGGTCGAACACAGATCGAACATGATCAAGACTGTTGCATTTAGAGTGGGCATAGAGAGATATAAGGCGAGAAGATATCAAAGGATCATGAAAAGTTGCTGTTTTGAGTGATACAGCGTGTAATTGAGCAGGTTCAATTGGGGTTCTACAGATTTGGAAAGGATACGGGTTTGATGATGGTTGAAGAGAACCAGAAGCTGTGACTTGGAGCATTCTGAAAGGCGATTGGAAATTAACAACAGTTGTAGGTCTTGTGTGATGGATAATTACTTAAAACCAAGAACGCTGTTGTTATTGATTGACTGATAATAGAAAATTTCGCAGAGTGAAGACAATTGTTTGGATTGACTAAAAGGGTGCCGTTTGCCACAACAATTTTTAATGACTGGACAATTATATCCTTTCCTCTATTTTACATTTTACGGTTTTACCCCTTGCTATTTTGGTAAAAATCAAAGGGTGATAACACATAAGTATGTTGCTATTTTCCCTTGCTTTTTTTGGGTCAATGAGAAATATGTTGCCTCTTTTCATAGAAACGCATAGGTACCAAACAATATTTGTTACTAAATTTTCAAATATCAATTTATTTTCAGCTGTTTTTTGGCAAGGGGATGTGAAGCTGACGATAAATCTTTGATCGAAGAAGACAAAGATCAGAACCAGGTAACACAATAGTTTGATCACCTTATAACCATCAGGTTATTGGCTAGCAATTACTTACATCTCGATTTTATGTATGCAATTGTTGTTGGGTGAATCTCGTACTTTGGATTTATGTGTTACAAGTATCGGTTGTAGTTTTTAAATATTCATAAGCAGTGGTGGATGTAGGCCTTTAGGAAGGGGGGCACATGACCTCAATGGCTAAAGTTTTTTACATATAAATATTTTAATTATTTTAAATTTTACTTGTAAAACCTTTTATGTTTTTGAAAAAAATTAAAAAGTGCCCCAAACCAAAAAAAAAAATGTTGGAATCGCCCATGTTCATAACTAATATACTTCTTAAAATATTTTTTTAAATGACTAAAAGGAAGGCCTCCAAAATCAAAAAAGAAAAAGAGGAATAACTTTCACGACACGAAATCCTTCAAGATTTGAGTTTGTGGAATTATCACATGTGATATGTAATAAAGTGGATGGTGAAAACAACTTAATCGATTTAAACGTATATCCATTAGATACGTTTGATTTGGTGTCATAGTTTTTTTTAACAGCTAGCTCTTTATATTTTTTTGATTTGGAAGGTTGTTTATAGTTCTTATTGGACGCTTGTTTGATTATATTTTTTTGGTAAAATTTGGGCATATAACTAAGTTTTGATTTTAAGCATTACTACTAAGTGAAATATATACAGTTGTATATATTTTTTAAGTTTATGCGTGACAAAAAATTCTACGACAAAAAGGTATATTTTTTAGTGATAGGGGGTAAAATGTAAAGTTTGGTATCATAGATAAAATTGTAAAATTGAAATTTTACAAAAAAAAAAATTATATATGGTAGAAATAAATATATTTATATAGTCCAGGGGTAAAGTGTACAGTTTGGTACAATAAAGGAAATGGTAAATTTGTCTAATTATAAAAAATTGTTATGGATGACAAAATTTTGTTGTGTACGAATCAGCTCTCATTGATTAATGACGTATCTAAACTTGTAATCAAAAGCCTATTCAGATCCAGAAAAAAACAGTTACGAAAACAAGAATCAGATAAATGTCAGATTATGGTAGATTTATAAAAGGGGTTTTTTTGATTTTTTGATTTTTTTTTTTTGTGTGTGAAAATTTGAATGTGCGGTGGATTTGTATTTCAAATGGATTTTGATTTTGATGGATTTAAATGCTATCTTAACATCCATTATGTTAGCACTTATGATGTTTTGAAAAGGATATTGAATCTATTTATACCAATTATAAATGCAATTTTCGAAATTCAAATTTTAAATCATCCTCAATTTCCACCATATCAACCCCAGTATAGGACTACTACAACTAACTACTGATGCAACATGTGTATACCCAATTTCGACTATCTCAAGATAATTTTGGTTTTAATATGTCCCTCGGTTCTAAGATTCTACTCCTGTAACATTGCAATTTCATGATGTTCAAAAGCAAGAATTTGAAGAATCAAGCAACGAACCCAAATCCACCTCCAACACCTTATGAAATTATACCGACCATCAAAAATAAAAAAAATGGTCCGAAAATGAAGAAGTGGCGTTAACGAAGGCTTATGTCGACATTTCGGAAGACAGGGAAACTGGAAATCAACAAAGAGCGGATTCTTTTTAGAAGCGAGTTCTTGACCACTTTAAATAGCAATGGGGTTCAAATCGTTTAAAACATCAAGTGGGTTCCAAATAGAAGGAGTTGCAAGAGAAAGTTTACAAATTCAGTTGCATCTTCACCCAAAAGATGAATAGTTGTTCGAGCTGAAGATCTGAGGTCGATATTTTAAACGTGACACAAAGTGAGTATTGCAAATGCTATAAAATGAAAGCATTTCCATACGAGGCGACATAGGATATTTTTAAATTCAACGAATAATGGTTACACGCCAAGAAATATGGTGAGAGTCCTCAGTCTCCATCCAAAAGGACCAATAAACATGACTTCAATAGTTACACAACCTCTCTAATTTCCATCTAATTTCAACATCGAGCCTAAAACGATTCATGTCGACGCACTGCCAAGGAGGCGACGAAAAGGAAAGAAAGTGACATTGGCATCGTCACAACCTCCCGAACTAACGAGCTCTTCACCGAAAATCGTTGGCCTTACCCATCAAAACAAAGAAGAGGCGAAGGAGAGAAAGTGATACATAGTTGATCAATTGCGACTCATGGAAGCTACCAAGCAAATGAGTATGACACTCGTAATTTAGGAGATATGAGCGATCAAGACAAAATCAGAGAGGAAAAAATATGTGGCTCCTTTCTTTCGTCGCATGACCATTTAAAAGAAGTAAGGATGTTGAATTTGGTGTTCGCCAAATTCAACGCTTTATGATCAGAGGCGTAGAATTTCATTTTAGGCTTTTAATTATCGTTTTAAGATTTTTATTATTGTCTTAGAATTTAAATTGTCATATTATGAATTATTTAACATTTATAGTAGTTTACCTTTTTTTAATGAAATGTTTTTAGTTTTATTTTTTAAAATTTTAAATTGGTGAATGTTTATTTTTTTAACAAAATAACTAATTGTACGGGTTGGAGTGATGAGAATGATGAATTTTCATTACCTGCGATTTTGGAGTTTTTTTATATTCTCGTAATAAAAACGTGTCGGTTTGACTATGATTTTGTAAATTTTGACTATGATTTCCATAACATCTTGTTTTCAGGCTTATACTGGTAGAAATAAAGAACTAAATTAATATAAATATGAAGAAGGTAAGTAATTCTCATTTTAGGCTTGTAAATGTATGGGGTAAATGGGGGTGTTAATAAGTTGAATTAAATTAGTAGTATGTTATTATTAAATGAATATACGTATTTAGGTTTATAAGTTCATATCATGACTATTTTGTATATTATATGGCCATCTAATTTGAGCAATTTGCTTGACATATTACATTTTAGGATCAATTTGATTTGTTGGATGTAAGTTAAATCAGCTATCAAAAACTTATAAATAAATGAAAAGATGAATTATGAGACATAAATATTAAGTTGAATTATTAGGCTAGCTATGTTAAAACTCGTGTAATACACGGTTGACAAATTAAAATAACATAAACAGTAAACGTTTAATGTCTTAATAAGAAAAAATTGAAAGTACAATGCTAGAATTTGATGAACTTTCCTAAATATAATGTTATAATAAGAAAACAAATGAAATAAAATGCTATAACCATGCCAATAAGGAAAAACAATCAAACGTACAATAATTTCATATACGGCTACAATATGAGAATTTCTATTAACTACTCAATTGACAATGAGATAAGTTTATCTAGAGCATATGTCTAATACTATGATTTTTACTCTAAAGTTTTCACATGTTATGTTTGTAAATATACTATGAATTTCTTTGATAATTATTATGTTTCTTTACATGTTACGAGTTTTTCGTAATTATTATGTGCCTTTACATGTTACGAGCTTTTCTATAAGTAATAATTGTGTATTTTATATAAAGTGATTTTGGAAGAAAAAGGGTTTTCCTTAAAGGTTAAAATGATGGTAAAAATAATATATGATGAGTCGTTGATAAGTTGGTTTGTAATGTTTTCTTTTAAAAGAAAGATGATGTTTTATGATGATATGAAGTTTGTATATTAAATAATGTTTTTATGATGAGATGATGTTTCATTGTAAAATGAAGTTTTATGTTAAAAATATACTTTGTGAGGAAATGATGTTTTATGATGAAATGTTGAAAATGATTTGGGAAATAAAAATATGCATATATTCTAGGATGGGTGCCCATATGAGTCCCTTGTTATATTCATACGAGATTAGTCATTACGATGTATGATGACAGTGAGTGATTTCTAAATAATCTATATTATACATAAGTGAGATACATACATATGTGGTGTTCACACTATGGTTCATGGACTTTTTTTTAGAACGACAACCGCAACACACTCTCTACATTACTCTTTCGTCTCCGGCGAGACTACTTGAACCCTCATTATTTGGCTGAAGGGAACCTTTCCACAAACACCTGATACCACTCAGCTACAAACCCTTTAGTTATGGTTCATAAATACCTAGTCTATGATGTGGACTTGGGAGATGTTTGTTGGAATACGCTTCTTCTTACATCCTCCCCATTAGTTGTGTTTGGAATACGCTCCTTTGTGACTATATGGTGTATGTTTGGAACATGTTCCTTCATACTTAACCTTCTAACCATCAAGTTTGTAAGATTGAACTTCTTGAGAGAAACTTATGTTCTTTGATAGTTGCAGGTCGCATAACATTACTATTGTTAATTACTTATCTTATTTTTGAACTAAGTTGATCTTTGATTTTTACTTAACTTAGCTAATATTAGTTTAAGGTTGTTGGTTGCTTTAAAAGTTGCTTTGTGGGTCATAAGCCCTTAAACTCTCTTGTTAAATCCTTAAACTTGGTTTTCAGTGTTTTTTTATAGGCTCTACGACCTAATTCATAATAAAACATATTTGTCAAGCAGGTCAAAAGTGATCATACCATCAATTGTGTGAGACCAATGACAATAATATCATCCT